AGGAAATCAACTTATTATGCACAGATAAAAGAGTCCATGGCAGTTGAAAAACTGGTTTAATGTGAAGAATAGAATATAAAAATTAAATTGTTGACTCATAGGTTATGCCAGGTGACTACATTAGTCGAAAGCTACTTTGGCTCCTTCACCAGCATTATTAAGTTTAATACAAATTCATGATCATGACTTCTACTGCCTTCTAGTATGCATATATTTTGCATACAATTCAAATTTTAAATATCAAAAGTCAAGGATCATTGAAGAATTATGACTTAAACGTCTGTGACCTACAAGGTATCTTCGGCTTGATAGTGATAGCAAACAGTAAAATTTTTGCTCTCTAACTTGGAATCAGAAATTTCCTTAAACCCCTCCCCAGTTATTTAAATAACATATGTGCTGTTATGTGCTAACTGCAAGCTATGAAAGTTGGATCCTACATCAAAAGCACAGATTTTGATATGGTCTTATAGGAGTTTGGACTCTCCAATCCTAATATCTAGCTTTTGAGGTGTAGTTGTCCCAAACTCATATAATGTCTACATCAGCCACAACCTCACAACCCAAAGTAATAATTTGCAATAAAATTGTGCGAAACCAAAACTTACTTCTCCTTTTTTAGCCTCATCCAATCGACTATAGAACCGTATGACATAAACATCCTACAAGTTAACAAAAAAAATGTCAGGAATATAACAAGCTTCATTTGTCTTCTCAAGCTGCAAAATATTATATTAACAAAGGAGAATAATTCCTCGGTGAAAAGGAATAGATAACTGAAAACAAGAGAAACGAACTCTGGTTCTTGTAATATACATGTAACCCGAAAATTTACTAGGGTCTTACCCCGTGGTTAACTCTACGACGCCCTAGCTCCTCCACCATTAGTGTAGGCCCCATAACACCCCTCCTGATAGGTTTCTGAAGCAAAAAACATAATAATAATAATAATAATAACAACAACAACAACAATAAGATTTAGGTATATAGCATATTAATACAGGAAACAAAAAATAAGAAGTTAAAAGATTAGGAATAGTCAGGAAACCATATAACTGAATCGAGCCTTGAATTCCAACATGGCAATCAAGGAATCACAAAACTCCAGAACAGGATCATATAATTTATCAACATATGAAGCGATAAATTAACATGCATCCACTTCAAACAAAATTAAAAGGGGTAGCTGCCAAAGTTTACGAGAAGTATAGTATCTTATTTCTCAACCTCATTACACAGAGACAGAAACTGATAACACTCCAGATATCATAATAGACTGCCTCCTGAAACTAACTCGAAGCAGGTATGTCTTAAGAGCTCGCATTTAAGCTCTTAGAAATTCGCGTGATTTGCAATTATCTAATACTTTTGTCTCCAGCTCCAAACTCCCTCCTCACTTTTCCTTCATCGATTTAATTTACTTTCCCATCAAACAGTGGGCTGATTTTCTCTCATTTCTCTTTCCTCTCCCATTTCTCCTAAGTTCATATCTATTGTAAAAAGCTAAAAGCAACTTTGACGGTAAGTTCACCAACTGACTCTTCCGCATCTAAAATCTCTCAACTCAAACCAAATCCACTCGCAAATTCAGATTATTTAAAAATTATCCCAGCGACGAATTCATTCCGGGAAATGGAAAGTAAACATACACAGATAGAGAGAAAAGAGAAAGGAAAATCATACAATCCCGAGGTTCTCGTGAGGGTCTCTCTTGTACATCTCCACATATTTCCCTCTTATGAATAAGAAGCGAAGATGGCAGTACTCATGGCCGATCGAATTGGTTCCCAAATGATAAACCCAACCAAAATACTCAAACACCCCCCTTTCCTCTCCTCCTTTTCCACCCCCGCCATTACTGTTGTTTCTCTTGCTATTATTATTGCTGCTGCTGCTTCCGCTACTATCCGACCCGTCCTTCTCCGATCCCTCTCCAACCACCTTCTTCAACGCCGCTGTCTCCTTCTCCATCCTCCTCCTCCTCCTCCTTCTCCTCCTCTCTCTCTCGTTCTCCAAAACCAACAAAACTATACAAGCTTAGGATTCACTTCACCCGCTTCGTCCACGTATATTACACGTCTTCATCCATTTGACAGCAAACGAAAGAATCAGATTTGCGAATGATGGATTCTGAATTCGATTCTGACAGAGACTCTATCCGCGGAAACGTTGATGGTGAGGAAACGAGGAAATAACGTTGAATTCCCCCGGCGTCAGCGTTTCTATTTTTGAATTAAAATATTTATAAAATATAATAATAATTACGTCGGCGTGGTTGGTCGGGTTTTTTTCAGCACTTATTTATTGACTGGTGAAATGAAACGCGTGTCCCCCGGGTGTCCACGTCATCACGTGGGACCCAGTTCGTTGCGGGGCCCACATCGGTCGACATCGAGCGGAGCCACGTCCAACAAACGGACAAATACCACTCGTATTACGAGCATTGAAAATTCAGTTTAATGTGAAATCGCACGAGGCGTCAACAGCCTGTCCGCACATTACACGTAACACAATAAGTTAAAATGTATGACTTAATTACGCATCTAATTCTCCTTTTTAACATTATAAATGTATTTTATATTTGCATACTTTATTATAAATATAATTTCGTATGTACATATTTTTAATACTATGATTAATAAATTTGAAAATTTAAGTATTACACACGTAAATTAAGAGTGTGCAACATGTTACCAATTTTTATTTATTTCATAAAAGTATAAAATAATTAAAATTAAAAAAAATTATATCGAATTATAGTTCATCGTGACTAATCCAAATTAAATAAATTTATTTAATATATAATATATATTTTATTTTAAGTATAATATAAAAAAAGTTATAATCGTAAAAATTAATCGCTTAAATTTCATTTTATATATTTTATTTTAAAAAAATTAGACTTACCCGTAAACTTGGTTTATTTAATATTTTTTGAGTCAAAATAAAAATAATTTTTTTTAATGAATTTAATTATTTTTGGAAAGCATTATATTTAAGGTATTTAAAAATAATAATAATAAATTAATAATATTATTATCCGAAAATAAAATTTAGTTGAGAAATCATAGTCCAAGCTGGAACTGTTATAATTCTTTGGTAATTGTAGTACACAGAATTTGAAGGCCCCGTTAGCAGTTGGATCGAGATTGACCCGGACTTTCGAATTCGGTTCGGACAACAGAAATAACAGAAATTAAAGGCCCAATCTTCAATTGGGTCGAAATCAACCCGGAATCGAACCGACTGAATCAGAAATTTAGAATAATAATATAAATTCAAGGGAGAGGAATTGGTTGTTACGGACGACACGTGTCATCCAATTAAGGGAGACACGTGTGTGTTTCTTTTTTTAATTGAGGTCTTCGTTTTTGAGAAAATTACAAAACAACCATGAGGTACGCTGTTGTAAAATGAAGTAATTGTAGGGGTAGTATTGTAATATCAGTTTTTTTTTGTTTCCATTTAAATTTAATCCTCCACGTAGAGAAAACAGAATTATCTCCGGATTATAAATATCTCCCCCTCCCAAACACGCCTTATTTCATCAACCCCGTATAAACATAACTGTAAATCCAATCACCCTCTTTCTTTCGCCCTCTCTCTGTGTCGCTCAGAAAAATGGGTACGGCGGTTCTTCGCTCGCGAAACTGTATTCAAGATAGGTTTCGCCACGAAACCCTAACACTCGGTCCTCAATTAAAGTCTCAGCGCAGTTTTAATCCTAATTCTACTCGTGATTCTAACCCTAGCCACGCGTTTGGTGAGTCTCGCCGGAGAAGGAGAAGCCCGGTAGGGTTCCAAGCAAGATATTGTCCGACAGAATCTCGATCTATGGTGGCTAAGTTTCCAGCTAAGAACCTCGTCATGGGACAGGTCAAGATCCTGAAACGTGGCGAGACGTTGGGGCAGCCGACGAAGAAGAACTATCGCGGTGAGGGAAAAGAGAAGGTGCTAGTGAAGACCGAAGACGATTACGATCTTTTTCTCGGGTCCACGGATAGGCTGGGCCCAGATCCCGAGACGGTGCAGAAACAGATCATGGTTAATAGTGCATTCCAGGTTGCAGATGGCGTTTACGCCGGGTCGGGCTTCTTCGCGTCTCCGCCTCCTAGTTCGCTTCCGGTCCCTGGCTTTCTGGGGAAGAGCGGTAAGGGGGCAGCAGCAACGCTCGATTTGCGGCGTTTGCTGAGGCTCGATTTGGTGTAATTTGAATTAAGACAAAAAAAAAAAACAAGAACGGAGTCCATGGTGCGGAAAAGGCTTGACAGAATTTATAAAAGATTGATGGTGTTGTTCCTTATCGATAAGATGGATGCTTGCAGAGTCTCAATAATCATCCTTTATTTTTTCAAGAGGAAGGATTTTTGAGTGCAAGCAAATCCAAGATGGTTACGAAAGCGTTTTGGTCGGCAATGCTTATATCATTTGTCGCCATAACGGTTAAATCGTCTATTGCTTGAAGATTAGGTGCCTTTCTAATATGTTTCCTAATGTTTTCTCGGTAGAATAATTAGGTTGCGTTGTATGATGTTGTCGCCTGGACAGATCGAACTGGTCTATTTGTGGCTTGTACTGAAATGGGGTGTGCGTTTGTGAGTTTCTTTGAAGTTGTTTGGGTTTTAGATTTGTATTAGTAGCCTGAGCTGTGCTGTCAGTACTTGGTTTAGGGGATATTATGTTTACTTTGATGTAGCTCCAATATTTCTTGAATAATATTCTAGATTTAGTAGCAGTACTGTGTGGTAGTTCTCTCATTTTGATTGATGATAATGATGTTGGATCCAGCAGCAGATCGCTTCTCGTGTTTCGGAGGGCAATGGTGCTGATTTCTGCAGAATGTCATGTATAATTCATGTCTGCTCAATGTGATATGTTCATGGGGTAGGAAAAATCTGGTTCTTTGTCATCTTTTGCAGCCAGACGTTATGATAGTTGACATGTTTGTTTGTTTTTTTTTTAAATCTAGTACTTATTGTCAGTAAGCAGCAGCATCGTGGTTATGTTGAGTCTCTGAACATTGGAGCATATTGGATGCCATTGCCCTTACTGAAATACGAATGGTTAATGTTGATTGCTTCCCATGTGTAGCAGCAGGCGTTTTGGTTGTGGAGCGTGTGGGCCATGCATCTAAAACCAATTGAGGTTTCGGGATAGTTTCTCCTGTAGTCTTACCTTTTTGGTACTTATTCAATTTTACAGTACTTTATTGTTCTAAATCTCTGCCATAAAATATAAACTGATGTCTATCTTTTATATGTATATCTCTTATTATTGTGTGTCTATCATTATCACCTGACTCGTAAGTTTATGTAAGATATGATCAGCTGATTGATCCTTTATCTGATGGGAATAGTAAATTCATAGCAAGTTACCTGTTAAACAACGCCATTCATCTATAAAGAAAGCATCTATCATGCAGCAATGACTTCCTGTATGTAACTGAAAACAGAAATGGAGTTAGATCGATGAATTAGATAGCTGAATCGGCTGATTGTTGTGTAGTTTTCCTAAATTAAAGTTTATATTGATTTCTTTCTCGTATGGTCTGTGCTATTGGTTTGCTGACGATAGGATATCTTTTCTTAAGCAGTCAATTCACCTTTATTGAAATCCTTTATTTGCCCTGCTTTCCGAGTCATCACTTTAACTGATGTTATGGCAGGCCACAGAGGTGGTAAGATTATGTTGAGTTTCTCTCGGTACTGCCCACGAGCATGATGAAAATTACTTTTTCTGCAAACTAACAAGCATCCTACAAAAATCCTGGATCTTTTTGACTCAACAGCACCATGATGGTAGGCACTTCAGATACTTTTTAGGAATTCTAGGTGGGTTTTCTATAATTCTGTTAAAAACCCTTCTTAATTGTAGTATTGTTTGAACCTGAATTTTCATCCTTACTTTGGATTGCTGATGTAAGAAGGCTATATTTTCAGTCACGTTGCACACTTGTATCAGTGGAAATTCATTTTTCGGGTCAACTATGATATTCGGCCATTATTTGTAGACTTTCTTGAATACTCGAATTTTCCCATGTAGTTTAGCCTTCAGTCATTTGTGTATGGGAGTAGTACAATGCATCTTATGTCATCTGGATATATATTGAAGTATTGCTTAGAAATTCACCAAATTTATGGTATTGATACTCGTCAGCACTTATGCTCATGTTTATATACTTAATGGATGTTAGATTCGGGCACATCTGGCACTTTGATATGCCGATGATTTGTTTAACCTATCAGTTATCATTTTTCCGGAATGAGAATTACCAGCTCCATTTAACTCTATGTATCGATCCCACTACATATCATATTTTTTTCAGAGGAAATGCTTCATCATCACCTGCAGCATATTTCTTGTATTCATTTTACACTGTCGAATCACACAAGAGTATCCAGCATTCTCTGACAAGGTGATGTAGGGCGATCTACCTAATAACTAAACTAAGGTATTGAAATGATCGTGTGAATAATCAAAATAAGAAATCCGTCTATGTAAGAATACTACTAGATGGAAAACAACTAACCAATTGAATAAGCTAATTAGTAAACACTTACCATAAGTCTGCAGTTAATAATTTCTAAATGTTACAATTATATACATATCTCTTATTATTGAAATATGTCTGCATTAGTATTTTTTTTTATTCTGCATGACTAAGTTCTTTACTTTCTTTGTCCAAGGAATCAGGCAACTGGTAAGAGTGGTTGCTTATGTTCATTTGCCAAATGACAGGTATGTCATCTACATAATCTAACTTCCCATTTTCTTAGGATGAATTTTCTCTTAAGATTTATTTATTTGTCCCTTGTGAGTCAAGTGCATGGCGTCTTTCTGACACTCCTACAACTCTTTTTGAGAAATGACAGGTTCTTATATAATGGTCACTAGCTTGTTTACATTGAGTTGTTTGTTTATTGGCTCTTTTGAAAATATTCTGTAGCGATAATAAGTGCTCTAGGCATGTGGGCTTTTGTGCATCCCGCTGATCACCTTACTGGTTATCTTCTTAGCCAGAATTATCTGAAGCTTGCGCACAACTTAATTCATGACTTCTCCACTGCCTTACTTCTAAACATGGATGACTTCCAAGTTGCAGAGAGGCTTTGGGCGTTGATGTGATCCTTTTCGCCTCTTCTTGGTTTCTTTAGTCTTTCCAAACTTTTTTTCTTTTAATTCTGGATTTAGAGCTTGAGAGAAGTTCAGGAGGGTTCAGCTTAAATAGGTGTTTTTGATTAAGTTCTCTCACATGGTTTTATGTTCTTTTAGCTAGTTTGAAAATTATTTTTGAATATTGATATCCAGGCAGGTATTGTATACTGTTGGGTTGCTAACTTGCTAGGGGTCCTTAAAGATGCTATGGTATATTTCTTACAACCGATGAGTTTCTTGCAACTGCTTTGGTTTAAAAACGAAGATGCTAGACTCACAGGGATTTGGTTGCCTGGTACAGGATCTAATTTATAAGATTTCCCCCTCGATTCACAGTTTGTGTTATTTTTGCAGTCATCTCGCCTAATTCCATCGAGTTGCTTTGTCCATTGTTGCTTGTATCACTGAGCTTTGCAGGCATTATCCTTTTCCAGAACCAGTGCTTCCCCCAGATGAGTATCATCTCTTCTATTGGCACCCCTTTGGTCTCCGGGAGGAAGAAATAGACAAAGATTGTCATAACAGTAATCCAGCCGGCAAAAAAGAGAAAGATACCAAACTTAAAGGCACAAAGGAGCGAGAGGAAAGACTGTGCAATGATGAAAGTGAAAAGAAGGTTAACAGCAACCGTGATGCTCTGTCCAGCTGATCGTGTTTCCAATGGAAATATTTCGCTGGGAACAGTCCACCCTAGCGGACCCCAGGACCATCCGAAAGCCAGAACAAAGAGGCAGATCACCACCACCACCAATACTGAGAAGCCTTTTGATAGTTCTTGATTGTCCCCAAACTTCAGGCCCAGAATTATGGCGACTATAACCTGTTAAACAGAAACAAATTCATTTGAGGTTGCAGGAAATTTTTGTCCTGTTCTGTTGTATATTATATTTCTGTGTAAAACTGAGTACTTATAAACTTCTGATTCCAAAGTTTATAAGTATGTAGCAAAGGAGGTTTCTGCTGCTTCAAGCATTTGACAGGATAAACATGACCAGGTTTTGCGGCATGTTTGGGGTATTGCTCATTGCTTGTGTATGTATGTAGTTTTGATAAGGAACTGAGAATGATATACTCAGGTTTTTCTGGGATCTTATTGAACTTTTAGAATCTCCTTGGAAGTTCTTTTGCAAATTAAGGCATTCATTGAAAGAATCTTTTACCTGGCACGCAATCATTTGTATTCCGCCACTGATAAGGAGGACTCGACGGCCCAATCTATCTACTGTTGCAATAGAAATTAGGGTAGATGAGCAGAGAACTGCTCCCGTCAAAGCCGAGGCATAGAGTGAAGCGTTTCCTCCAAATCCCAAGCTCTGGAATAAAACCGGAGCATAGAAGAGAATTGAATTGATGCCTGTGAGGATCTGGAATGTGGGCATGAAAATTGCCATGACCAACTGTGGTCTGTTTCTTTTCTTAAGAATGTTCCTAAAGGGATGCTTGATTGAGTTAGCCAGCTCGCTTGCATCTATCAAGTCTTCAAACTCTGCATCCACATTATTGGTTCCTCGGATTTTTTCTAGGACTTGCCTACCTTTTTCTCTCAATCCTCGTTCGACTAAGCTGTTAGGTGTTTCGGGAAGAAGAATTCCTCCCACTGTCATTACTAGAGCTGGAGCTGCTGCAAGTCCCAGAGAGAGTCTCCATCCCCATGGCTTGATCCTTTGTGTTCCAAAATTGATCATGTTTGCTGTGAAGATACCTAGGGTTGTTGCCAACTGAAACATCATGTTCAAGGCTCCTCGAAGATGGGTCGGTGCCATCTCTGATAGATACAACGGAACAACCTTCATTGCAATCCGAAAAGAATTAGCATTTACATTTCAGAGTAGAGTAACATGAAAATGATAACTAGAAATTGAATCAAATGCAGCAGATTGGTGAAAGTAGAGGACCTGATTGCCAAAACCAATGCCAACGCCAAGCATGATCCTACCCAAAAGGAGCATTACTATGTTAAGGGCTGCAGCATTAAGAGTTGCCCCAGCAAGAAAGCTAATCCCTCCGCATATAATGCTGGCTCGACGGCCATAGTTTCTTGTAACCGGAGATGTGGCCAGTGATGCAACCAATCCGGCAAGATACAGAGAAGAAGTAAAGGCTGCAAGCCCTTGATTGTTATACTTGCAGTAGTTGTTCTCATGTACATGTTGCTTTTTTATGTATACTGGGTGGAAAAAACTTTCCAGAAATTCATCCATTGATGTTACCCCTCCTGTAGAAAAAAGGCTAAATTAAGAATCATCCCACATTTTCTCGGATGCCAAACAGCATTCTTTTCTCTTTATTTTTGCGAGAATTATCAATGGACCCTTCACAAATTACAAACCAAAAAAGAACCCTTTATTTTTGTAGGAAATCTGCATGGACCCTCTACAAATTACAAACCCGAAAAGAAAATAACTGTATATTTCAAGGATTTCTGTTACTTTTCACTTTACTTTTCCATAATCATCTTCTAGACCTTTTTATTGAACAGGAGGAAACATTCTTCAAGAAAGTTTCCTTATCATTGGAACAAAATCTACAAACTTACGCATCTTTTCATTGAACAATCAGGTTATGACATTCACATACTGTATAATCGTCTTCAAATTTGTCATCTTATCATGATTAGAAACAAAATCCAAAATTCGGCATCTTTTTCCAGATTGAGATTCAGGGAGATCATAAAAACAAAAACAGTACTGAGATTCCGATGTCATAGCCAAAAATTGACCCCCCAACAGCCGCAACAAGGCAGGCAATAACCACAAACAAGGTCACCCTTCCTTGGTACTTGTCAGCTCTCTCCTTGGCCACACCAGTAGGTCCAACATGCCCTCCCCCCGCCATGGTAGATCTTCTCTAAACTTCACCAGTTACAGGAGAGTTAAGACACAGAACCACAGACACCCCCACCTGCTGAATATATCCAGACTTCTGGCTCAGTTTTATTTTATTCACGACTCATTTGAAGAATTCTTTGCGGTTGACCCACGAAGTATACATACATATATATATAAAAACACACGCTCAGACACTCACACGAGAGCCCTATACATTTACATATACACAAGTTGCAACCTGCTGACAACGCAAGGAGAAGAGAGAAGAAGAAAGGATAAAGAGAAACAGTTCGGTACGTAGAAAATTTGGGGGAAGGGGAGGAGAGTCAAAAGAAGAGCCGTAATAATCAATATGTACACGTCACCTCTTTTGGGAAAACACTGATTTGGATAAAATCTAAGGTAAGGTATGAAACATAGGTTTATTTTTATAATATAGTCTAATTTAATTGAAATTTAATAAAATATTATATTTTTATATTAAAAAATTATTTTATTAATAAAAATAATTATAATAATTTTTGGTACCTATTTAATTGAAGTAGATTATTTGCATATTTTTTTATGCATTTTAATAGTAATATACATATATATATAGTAGTTTAATTTATAATAAGATCATCTCGCATATCTTTTTCTTATCAATTACATTATTTTTTACCTCGTTGGTAAAATTTATAATTTTGTATAATAAATGAAAAATATAGTTAATTATTGTATTTTATCAAACTTAATTAATGTTTAATTAAATAATTAATAAAAAATTTGACTAAAAAAAGGTATAAATAATTATTTAATAATTTATTAAAAAAATATTGTAATTAATTAAGTAACATAATATAATACAATATAAAAAAAATTATATCCGAATGCGTGTATTAAAAATTGTTATTAAATTTTTTAAAAAAAATATATCTTCATCCACATGTTAAAGTATCGGATGATCTTCGACAACTTTTTACTGATGATATTACGGACGTCTCTCGACTCATGATGTAACGGCGTTTTTTTAATTTTTTTTAACTTTTATTTTTATTTTAACAAAAAAAAATATTATAAAACTTTATTTAAATTTTATTTTTTAAACAAAAATTAAAGGAGATCTATTAACCCCTGACCGAACTGCCCGAAGTGACCCGCACAGTATAACCTCAATTCTGGCTGCGAGGGAAGAAGACCCCCTCCGAAATTCTGACGATGCTTCTCTCCGGTTCGGTATCTCCGATGACCTACTCTCAGTTCGGAGTTTCATGCTGTATTAGACGTGTCGCTTCACTCTCGCCATTCCTCCCGCAGCCTCCTCTCAGGTACCTTTCACTTGTCTCTGGTTTCGTTTTCAAATTTTCTTTTCAATGAATGTTCTGAAATGTTCGTAATGATAATCCTGTGCGATTGCGGTGCGTTACCGTTAAGATATGCAGTGCTTGGTGCTGGTTTTGCCGGGCTCTCTGTTGCTTGGCACTTGTTGAAGGTACAGTACTATTCTTTAATTTGTTTATGGTTATCGAACATGCGTGTGTGTGTGTGAGTAAATATATATATATATATATGTAGCTATGTATGTTATGCATTTATTTTTTTATGCGTGCTTTAGCTTTCTGTTCTTGATTTTTGGTGGAACTATGTTTTTAGCTCAGCTCCGAGGAGTTGAAGCTAAATATTGACATATATGATGAAGCTGGGATAGGAGGAGGCGCATCAGGAGTTTCTGGAGGACTTCTCCATCCTTATTCCCCCAAAGGTGAAGATTCTCATCACTTCCTGTTCTGGCTTTTTTAGGTGAATTTTTACAATTCTTTCCGATGCCGAAACTGAATGTTATTCTCCTACGATAGTTTCTTTTTCTTGTAGTATATTTGTAAATGGTCTGAATTTTTAGCAGCCAAGCTTCTTTGGCAGGGCGCTGAGTGTTGGAAAGAGTGTTTGAAACTTCTAAATGTTGCGGAAACAGCAGTCTCCTCCAACCAGTTCAACACAGGAACAGGAAAATCTGATATGTCTTTTGGCAATTTTATTGTTCGGAGAAGGTTAATCCAAAAACTTATTTATCTATATTTTAATAAATCGTAACTTTGAAAGGTTAATCCAACTTCTTTAATTAATTCAATGTGAAACCAAGCTCTAATTCTTCTTTACATTTTTCTTTCTTTTTTTTCCTACCAAACTACTTCAGATTACTCAAAAATTCTTACTGTTGATTCTATTGGAGTTCTTTGTTCCAGGGGTATCTTGAGACCAGCAACAAATATAAAGACTTTGAGCATAATGAATGATGTAATTAATCTCCCTTTATGCCATGGTAGTACCTCATTGTTGTGTAGTTGATTTGTGGTTTTATAGTGCTTGATCTTTTTCTTATTCTGCAACTAGAATGCTCAGAACTGCCTAGCCAGCTGTAGAATAGACACCATTGATAATGATGCTGCGCAAAATCTTGTGCCCAATCTATGTGTACCTTTCAACTTGGCCTACTATATGCCAGAAGCTGTAAATGTCCATCCTCAACGCTATCTCCAGGTTTTAACAATCAAATGAATGAATTTTATTATAGATAACACCATGTTTCTTTTTCTCTTCTAATCAAAGTTTCTTCTGTTCTTATTTCCAGGCACTCTTCCTAGCTTGTCAAAATTTAGCAAAATCTGCTGGGAAGCAGTTTCGTTTGCACAGGAAATGTGTTCATGAACTCCTTGAATTGGAAGGTAAGGTTGTGTCTATCTTTCTTTTTTCTGTTTCATTTAGAGTGGCAGCTAGTCTTTTCTACTTCTTTTTCCTCTCTGCCTTTCTTTTATGCTGATAAGAATGGCTATTTGAAGTTAGTAACCTGCGTTTATATAAGAGAAAATCATTTTTAACGACATCGACTCAAGGCCTGATACATTTGATGGGCAAATATTTATATAAGATTGCCGGGACTGGATTTGATGTCTGCTCTTGGTTGCCATGGATATATTGAAGCTCCAAATGCTTATCCTCTAATTATGAGTTAATTCAGATTTACATTTTGTGTATGCAGGGGAATATGATGCTGTAGTAGTATGTTTGGGTGCCAAAGTAGACATGCTTCCAGAGCTTGCTGGGAAGCTTCCTTTAAGGACATGTAGAGGAGTTATTGCTCATCTCGAGTTGCCTGATAATATTAGGTAGAATCATTTCTCATCCTTTTGGCACTTCTGAAGCCTGAAAATTTATGATTTATTGCCTTCAAAATCAAATTTGCCTGGAACATAGAAATTTGAATATAAAACAAGTCCTCTGAACTCTTATCCCCTTAAAAAATGTCGCTGTAATTGTTTCTCTGAATTAGATTCTTGACATTCTAGTCGTGAAAATTATATTTTAATTCCAAGAAGATGTAATAACAGTAGGTCCTCTAAATTCTTATCCCCTTAAAAAAGGTGGCTGTAATTGTTTGTCTGAATTAGATTCTTGACATTCTGGTCATGAAAATTATAATGGAATTCCAAGAAGTTCTAATAACAGTAGGCTTCTCATTTTCAGAAATATAATATTATGTACTGTTCCTAGAAGGCCATTCTTTTGTTGTAGTTTTATCTTCAACAAAGATTTTTCCATTTACACGGAGCTCATTGAGTGGAATACTATTCTCCAGGGAAGATTATCCAGACTATAGTCCATCAATATTATCGGATGCATGGCTTGCCATCCAGGGAAACCGTAGTTTGTACATGGGTTCGACATGGGAATGGAAATCAAGGAATTCATCACCAACTGTCCTGGAAGATGAAGCTTCAATGGCTCTTCACGAGCTCCTCCCCAAGGCATCTGCATTTTTTCCAGGCATAAAGCATTGGAGGTTCACTGGAGCAAGGGCAGGTTTGAGGGCAATGCCACCACTCACTCCCAATGGTTCTCTTCCAATTCTTGGTTGCGTTAATGACCTTGTAGGTGTAAATCATAGCTGTAAGTACTGGTTATTTGGAGGGCTTGGTTCGAGGGGTTTGCTGTACCATGGATGGCTTGGAAAATTAACAGCTATTGCTGTGCTTTCCTGTAATGAAGATTTGATACCATACGAACTGACCTCTTGGAAGAATATAAATAAATTATGATCTTTTCTTCTCTTTGGTTCATTGAAGTTCGACTTCTCATGAGCTGTAGAACAAGAGGTAGAGTGCTCTCAACCCTCTTTTCTCATCATACTTTTATCACTTAAGAAATTCGATTCAATCCTAAATGCTGTACAAGTGATCATACCAAATCTGATATAACAAAGAGATTAAATAGAAAATGAGATTAAAAAACACGGATTACTGAAAGAAACCGAGCATGTTTACAG